CAGAGCTGCTGATAAGCTTCTAACAGAGTAGCAACAGGAAGGAGTCCGTCACAGAGTAGACTATTCCATTTAAGCATATTTGTTGCCTACATGCACCTGGCAAGGTTTCCTGATTCAGACCCTGTAAAAGCAAGCTGGGTTGGAAACAATTTTCCAAGAAATATGGAGAACAATAGTTCTCAAAAGGTCTGACAGCAAGGTACAGGATCAGACATCATAGAGACACAGCAGGCTTCATTATATAATACCTGTACATACCTGTACATAGAAATCAAGCCTAACAGGGGGTGAGACCTTCATTAAGAGATATGGAAAACTATAGTCTTAAGATAGACTACAAAAATAAATGCTGACATAGGTTATTAAATTGGAGGATACCTTGAATATTGAAGAGTGAAAAACTGAAAGTACAGCCTGAGTAATCAGAGGTTGCACACAGTATTCCTACCATAAAATGACTGATGTCCCAAGTGAGATGAAGACTTCATTACTCCTCACCATGGAGCCATCCTGAACTGACACTTCGTAAAAAGCAAATGAGTTTCTTTTGGCCCAGTGACAACACTAAGGTGTTTTTGTATGGCACTAAAAAGAGGTGAATACCACTGAAGAAGAAGCACCCCTGTATCCACAATGAACAACATTAGAAATCCTGCTGGTCTGGAAGGGCACCATTTGAACCAGGGAGGATGAAAAAACCTACATATTATTTCTAGTTTAAATCATCAGCTATTAAAAGGAAGTTGTTATTTGAAATGTCTCAGTGGATTTGGGTTAATCTGGGAGGAACACAGTGCTGTGAGAGTATGGCTGTAACATGACATAACCTGTTGTGTCAGAAGCATCTTATTAACAGAGTTAAGGGGAAGCAAACAGACAGAACATATGAAAATTACAAAAATGCAGATTAGAAGGGTTGTCAACACTACTTGGGAGAGAGAAATGGAAGGATATAGATATTAAAATAGTCAGTAGGAATACAATGGAATTTGAAAAAAATTTCACACTACATTCTAAGGAGAAACTTGGGAAATGGCAATAGTGAAAGATACCTTAGGGAACTGGGAAAAGCCAGGTGGCAGAAAATTTGCAATTGGTAATGTCTATAAAAATTCTGGTGCAATTTTGAATTTAATATGCAAAGACTTCATATCACAGCAGAATAGAGACGTCCTTCTCTCCAGTCTCCAGATATGGCTTTTGTTCATTCTGAGAATGCTTTTTTTTTTTTCCCCAGAAAAATGCTGTCAAATAGGATGTAGTTAGAGAGAGCAACAATTTCTGTTCATGGACTAGAGAACTTTGATGAAAGAATAAACAATATGTGTATATTGTCAGATTAAATGAACAAAAGCATGTGCACTAAATACATTTAAAAATATAAATACTGAAGAATAGAATTAGCAAGAACCAAAAGGAGCATTCATAATTTTTCCACAGCATTGGAAAAGGAGGAAGACTGTAAGGAAACATTTGTCTGGTTTTACAAGATGGAAAAGAGCTCTTCTGTGCTTCTTCTAAAGTCTTATCTTAAAATTTCTCGCTGACAATTATCTGCAGCATGGCTGAACTATTTGTGAATACACATAGCAACATAGCTCAAGGATGTCTAGCATCAGTCAAGGCACAATAAGTTGACTTCTATTGCTATTATTTAAGCATATAAAATTAGTCTTGTAGGGAGATAAACAAGACTAGCAAGCCACACTAGAGATGAAGGATAAGAAAACAGCTAGAAGACTCGGTTAGGGGCAGACAACTGAATTCTTTGGATGTTCAATTTTGCAAAATAATGTAAAAATAGAGAAGACAGAAAACTGCACAGAGGAGCTATATGCAAGAGATTTTTCCTTTCTCCCTTGTATTGACCAACAGCAGTAGAGAAAACACATTTCCACATCAAAGGATACCTAGTCATTGATAAAAATGCTGCCACATTATTTAAATATTTTCACAGAAGTTAATGTATATTATCATTAACATTGTGTAAGATCTGTAACTGTCTACCACTCAAGTGTTGTAGTTCCAAGGAAAAAATGTTGGCTTCTGAAAATATAAACCAGAAGTTCCCTAAATACATTTGGCCATATCTTTGTGCAGAAACAAAAACTTTTTAAATCAACAAGCAGTCTGTACGATCATTTCCAGTATGGATTTAAACACCACTCCTTTAAATTATAGGTAAAAAAAAAATGTGGTTGTATCTACAAAATTAAGCCTACACTTTCACTTTAGTCCAAATGTGAACTACCATCAACTACCATAATAGATTAAGAACTACAGCATTCACTAATAACATCTACAAGACGGTTTCCTTCAAATTCAGCCATCCACTGGGTGAATTTTGTTTCTTAAATATCCACATGCATTTCACCGCTTCTGGTCACATAAAAAAGAAGGGGAAGGATGTTCACACTGGTTAATTCAATTCACCCTCGCCCCTCAAAGTGTGAATCATAGTAACCAATTCAAAAGCTTCTCCCCACCCACTGACTAGACCAAGGCTATAAATTTATGGACCAGAGATAGGTAAGGAAAATCAGATATTGTGAATGCTCCTAAAATATTCTATCCCATTATAAGAAAAAAAGTCATTAAACATCATTGAAACAATTGCAATAACCTGGTATGATTCTGATACAGTTTTCTGTGGGGAAATTCAGTAATTTTTTTTTTAACTTAATAATAAATTTCTGAAGTTTCAAGAAGTTCTTTTTAATAGATACATTATGGTAGGTACTTAATTTCAATTTAATCACTAATTACAGAATTCAATTAACATTAATTCTTTGGGCTCTAAATACTTTCAAGATCTGGCTTTATCTTGTACAGTACAATAGCAATTATGCATCTATGCTCAGAAAAGAAAGCAGAAAAACATGTTTTCTAATCAAAAGTATAGGAGGATTAAGGAGAAGCAGGACTGAATCATTACAGCTGAAATATGACCTGAGGGACTACTCTCCCTACTCTCAAGAAAAATGCTAAAATGTTCGTCAGTATCAGATTCAGTTATTACCAGTTTTAAATCCATGTCTTAAAGATGACATCTCAATACCACAGTGTCATGATCACATCATTTCGTTATCAGTGCAGTAAAGAAAGGAGAGCACACTGGACAAACACCACATACAAAAGAGATTAAAATCACTTCCTACATCAAGGCAAGTTTTCCTGAAGGCTTGCTATTGCACATTTCATGTTGACATCAGTTTTTCTATTTTGAATTGGGTCTCTCGGTGAGTAAACACTGTCCTATACAAATTCTTTCTAAGTATGGGTATCATTTCACAGTTCTGTGTACTTAATTCTGTTATAACCAACCAGTCTGGCATCCCTATTATGTTAAAATACAATGCATTTTTTTGTCAGTACAAGTTACTAATGATTTTTATATTAATGTGTTTTTATTATATAGTCTAAAGACGCTTCAACAACTCAGATAATTTTCAAAATGGCTCACTGCAACATCAAAACCAACCAGACAAATCATCACCATCTGTCTTAAATAATCATTTTGAGGAACAGCTATGAAGCAATATAAGGAAAATACTAGGTGTTTATAAGCAGAGTTCTTATTTGTTTATTTCTTGTCCCAAATGTTACTTGAGAATCTGTGGCTAATTCTTGGCACTGGCTGCAATTCTTCCTCTGGCACAACTGCCTCGGCTCAACTCTGCATAAAGGTAATAAGTCAGGAAAATGGAAGCAGAAATTCAGCCCTCCTTTAACACAGTGCTGGGAACACAACCTTCAGAACCATTAAGTTAGTTTGCAAGTAAGAGACCAATTAAATGAATGCACTTCTCACTTCTGTGTTGCTTTAGTAAAGTGAATCATCTGCAAATTCAGTTTCACGAGCTAGCACACTGTGGCCATTTTATACTGTTCCCATTTTCTGATACATAGACCCTTAGATTTTTGTTACTTAAGGTTCCTAACATATACTCTAAAACATCAGAAGTAATGTACAGGAGCATTTTCTTTACATGTTTGTTTAGTTATACAAATGTTATATAAAAAATTAAAAATTATTTTTAGATTGCTAATGAAAAAAGTCAAACTGCAGCCATGGTTGACCAAACACATTTGTAAGTAAAAAGCATTGTAGGCATGTTATAATGAACTCAAATCAACTCTAAGTTGAAAGTCTAAGCAACTGAAAACTTAAATGAACACTTAAGAGAAATCTACATACATTAAATTACGGTAATAAAGACCTCAGGCACTCAATTCTGCCCTTTTGTGAACATAAGCAAACAAACAAACAAAAAAGTATGTGATTTTAAAAGTTAATATTAATCTAATTTGGAACCATAAATACCAAAATACAGCAATCACATAGTCATTTCATATTACAACTCATGGCCACGAGGTTACTAGGTTCAATTTCCTTACTTTTTTCCTTACCTTAGCCCCTTATAAACAGAATGTAACTAGATTTCCTGTGCAGTATTTACTGCTGCAGGTCACCTCTATCTCTGTGTCTGTTCAGGTTTTTTTGACAGTGTGGTGTCAAGCAAAGCAATAGTAGCTTTGCATAGGATTTTTTCCCCTCTACTATCTGCCTCTCACACTAACCTATAATGCAGTAATTGTCAATGCAGCAGCCTGCAAGGGAGAATTACGGGATCTCTCTCATTCCACTTTTCCTTGTGCAGGACACAACAAAAGCCACACATATTTTTGCTTAGCAGTGTTGTACTGCAGTGCTAAAGAAAATTACGCCAAAGAGCCATTAGAATTTTGTTTTGTAAGGGGACTGGAAACCCATTATACTATGCCACATCTTAGTTTGAAAATCATTTTGGGTCAGAACCCAAGGTCAGAGTAATTCTTTTGTGCTATATTTCCTATTGCTTTTTCTGCTTCTGAGTTGTCTATCGCTTCACCTGTGAAGTAAAGTTACAGAGGAAATTTCAAGAAAATTAGTCTCCTCCCCCAGACTCAGAGGTTTCTACACCAAAGGGTACATTTTTCTTATTCCAAGACTATCTCACCTCTGGAGTGACATCTCGTGGTGCAAACCCTGTTCCTCCAGTTGTTAAAATCAAATTTAGTTCCTTTTCATCACACCAATCTATCAGCGTCTCCTGAAAGAGAACATAAGTCCTGTCAGATCTAACAAGTAATACAAGGGATACAGTTATTTCAGAAAACACCTGAAGACTTGAAACATCTTAAAAACAGACATATACACAATAAATACAGGGAACTGTAAAATCACTCATGGCTTTTTATAGAAAGATTTTAAACTACTATTTATAACCAACATATGACAGAATGATTCAAGTATCCATCATAATATTTTTGGAAATGGAAACTGAAATTCTGTTCTCCATCTCTTGACCTGAAATGGAAAACAAGAATTCACAGTTATTTATTCATATCACTATTTATTTTGATTTTGAGATATGAATACAACACTTTGACACATGTTTAAATTGAGTATGTGGCATTTAATTACGGTTACATGGTTGACTATTATTACAGTAACTGATTTCTGTGCTCCACTTTTTAATTGCTTGAAAAAGAGCAAGAACCACCTATTTGTAAGCTTACCTCCTAAAAGACGCAATAATATACCTGACGCAGCAACACAAAAGATTATTTCTAATCATCTTTTCTACATTCCCTACAACATCTCAATAGGATTGTGTATACAAATTCCAAGGCTAGACTAAGAAGGCTTAATAAATCTGTCATGTAAATTCAATGACTTTCAATGCTGAAGAACTCATGATACTAGAGAAGTGTTTAATTTGATTTGTGTTCATTTTTTAATTACATTTTAAACTAGTTTTCAAATGGAAAAAAATTTGACATAAGCAGAAAATTTATTTAGTCTCAATATGATTGTGTCACTTACCCTCCATATTCTACTGTGTAGCAGCAGAATGTCTGCTTGGAGCTAAGAATTAGCTGTAGTACATGAAGTACACTCATGTATTACGCAGTAAAGTATTCATCTGCAGAAATCAGTCAGATAAATTACATAGCTATCAGTATTCTAGCGAAGAAGCTCCATTCTTTAAAAAAGCTTAGGGCATATTTATGTTTCTGCAGTATCATATTGGGGAGGAACGAACTGTTTTGGTGACTGTTGGCTAGAAGCTTATTATTTGTCATAAAATTAGATCTGAGCAATATACTGCTTAAAATATTGTTGTTGATGGTCATAAAACCATCCAGAACATTTTAAAAAGTACTACCAATTTAGATTAACCCTCAGGTGTATGTTCTGCAGGCTTAGCACTGCTATGTAACTTCCAATTAAGAGAAAGCTCATATCCAGCCTCTTCCAAACTGCAGGTAGAATAAACTTGTGTCTGCCTGCAAGCCCCATCATGCATACATATCCAAGGATTACCTGAAGAAGTAGCAAAGCCAAAAGTTCTGTCTCAATGTCTCCTTTCTTTACTCATTCCTTCCACTTCCCCTTTTGCGTTATCTCTTGTCTTTACTAAAATCACATTCACCTTTTTACTCTCTCTGTTTGGAGAACGGCACTCTACTTAGGTGGGCTGTAAACTACCACAAGTTTCTGGTTATATGAACATTTCAAATAAGATTGAAAAAAGAACACACATAATGTCCTAGACCTGTACATAAATGAATTATTAAGTCTGACTTTTGACTTCTGTTTTGAAAAAAATGTGAATTATGGTAGTAAAAAGCATTTTAAGTCTTAATTTTTTTTGTTTCAAAAGCAAAGACATGCATCAGAAAAATTATCTAAAATATCTCTATTTTATAATCTAGAAACATTTTTGTCTTGATTTCCAACAGCCACAAATTTCAGAGAATACTTGAGAGAAGTTCAGTGTAAAAATGGTCTTTGGCAAAGTTATAACTTAATATTGTATATATTTTAAAAATTATCATAAAGAAAAATTTGTCAGTATAAAACAGGAAGGAGAGATTTTGTGGTTTGTTTTTTGTTTTTGTTTTTTGTCTTAATGAAGCATTTATCTTTAGATAAAATAAAATCTGCCAAATTCCAACTAGTTTTATAGAGAAAATAAATCCTTCCTGTGTTCTCATTTTGCTACAGTTAAATAATACTCCAGTTAACAGGGAAAAAAAGTCATGTGATAGCCTACAAAAAGCTAAAGAAATCAATATACATCCTAACTCTTAAAATAAAGTGAGCAATAATTAAATGCTTATTACTGTTATTCCATCAGTGTACTTAGGCAGACATATAATTCCCTATCAAGTTCTAGTTATAATAAAGAAACACAAGTAAGAACTTTAAGGCAGTCAGTTTGGATTTCATCGTATTTTAGAAGTGTAAATTGTAGCACTTGTATCTTTCAAAACCATGGAAAAATACCTGAGACTGATATCCAGCTTATTTGCTTTCTCTCTAACTCACAAAACTGTGTCCCACAAAACGTTCTAATTGACATTTCAAGTGTCTAAAAAAGGAAGCACCACCCTGATGAACTGAGGACAAAAGGCTACTCATATTCACCTTGCTGCTGCCAGCACTCCAGCTAAACTCTCCATGGCTTTGCGTGGAACTGAATTTGCACTGTCTTCAAATGAGAATTCCTCTGGGCCAGGGACCTGGTATTGGGCTTTACTGATGCTACACAAACAAACAACTACATACAACTTTTCAACTAGAGAAGATGTTATTAAATATTTTTTGTGCATCTTTCTTGTCTTCTGTCGTTTCATTGATGATAAGCTTTCAAGAGAAAATGTGACTAGGTCAGCAGGTTATGTTTATCACTGTCGCTCCATTCAATTCAATGGAATTATGCTGATGGATACAAAATACAGTATCTGGTTCTGAAAACAGTACTGTAAACTTACTGTCAGATTTTAAATAGACAGAAAAAAACTACAGCCCTCCAGATAAAAAAAAAACCAACAAAACCAAACCCAACAATAAATAGCTCAATATTTTTAACAATTAATATCCTAAAATAGGCTTTAGCAGTTATTTTCTAATGTCAAGGCAGACAAGGAGAAGTCATTACAGTCAGCTCCTCTAGACACATTTTTACTTCAAAAGCACACAACTGTGATACTAACCTGTCCAGATTTCACTGAAGTCCTAGAAAAAATTATATTAATTACGTTTTTCTGTGGCACAGAAATAAAATATCAGCCCAGTTGTCTCCTTAAGCTTTGGATTAGATCTGGTGCCCTGTCCCCTCTACCTATCTCTTTGTATTTTATCTCTTAAATACACTTAAATTTCTTTCATTTAAATAAGTAAGAAATCCTTGCGTCTAACACACAATTTATTTCCATACCTTGCTCAAAAGAGCACTTGTTTCAATCAGTCCCGTCTCCCCCCCAACTGGAAACTACTCATTGGACTTCCTATGCACTGCCCAATCTTGAAATTATTTCAGTTATAACACTGTTCCTCAAAAACTCTGCTTCTGATCTGTTTGAATTTTCTCATGACCAGTGTTGATTTCACCAGTGCAGAAAAATCCTGCCTCATTCTTTCTCTGGATGAGTTCTTAGTCTTTCACATGTAAATTTATTGATTTTAAGGCCAATTAAGATAAATAACTCAGGGAAAGAATGCCCACAGTGTGTGGCACAGTGCAGAGAACCTGTTTAGCACAGATACATGCTTGCAAATTCATACAGGCATCGTCACATTAAAACACACTAAGGCCAAAAGATGTATAGATGTATTCTCGTAGCACCACAGCGACTGCTGCCTGATATTTCAGTCAGTGAATGGCTATAATGCTTACAGACATATTTCCTTCTGCAGAGGTAACTTAAGCATCTCAATGTCCAAGATGCAAAACTGCTCTCAGTCTGAGTTCCAATCCAATGGGCAAGTCAGAATTTTGGTCAGTTTCTCCTGCATTTTAAACAAATTCTAGGACTCAGGCATCTGTTCACTAAACCGTCCAGCCTTGATCTGAAGGATTCAAGAGAGAGAAAATACATAATTTAATTTGGTATGGTTTTCCAGCAGCGATTCATGTTTTTAATTTGTTGTGTTTCTAGTAACTGTTTCTTACTAATAATTTAAGTGGGATAATGTGTGCCTTCCCCTCCCCCCCATGATACCTGAGAAATCTGCTCACAAAATGCACAATAGTAACAGCTAGCAAAGTGAGGGGTTTTTGTAACTTCATTGATGCACCATCCTCTAATCTCTGTAAGTAAGTGAGCAGGAGAAACAAGTAGGGACTCCTTTCTGGAATGCACAGAACAGTTCCCTGATCTTTTGACATAACTGAGGTTGGTGGCTTACTTATTTTAGTAAATTTTTGCAGCCTGTTGCACATAAGGCCTTGTCACTGTCACTGGCACTCTACATTTCTGTCCTTGATAGCTGCTTCACTTAAATAATGGAGTAGAGCAGTTCTACATGTGTACCTAATCATTTCCTTTTCAGAGTCAGAGGCGTCTGTCCATTGACATAATGTTATGAAGCATGCTGTGAGCCAGGAATTTAAACTTGAGGAAGATTGCGAGACTCCTCTAGTCCTCTTACTGCTACTGTACACTGCTCTTCCACATTGATATTGAGACTATGAGTAATGCCTTTAACTGGAGCAGAAGTACTACAAGGCACACAGAAATGGTCACCGTGGAACAGACTAAATGCCTTGACAGAAGAGTTGAGGTCTTGACAACTGTTCCTCTCCTGTGATGCTGCAGTCCTGGGGTATTTCCTGTCTTTCTTTTTGCTCTATTTTTGCCACCACTTTGCTCCAAGAGTGTGATAACAGTCACACATTGTTTATGCTTCCACAATTACTAGAATACATTCCTGCAAATCAGTATTATGCTATTTATTCCTGGGATTAACATGTATACATTTTTTCTTACCATTAAGTCATTTATTTCATAATACAAAGACTGTAAAAATAATTTTCAGCACATATGCATACTTTTCATAAACCTTAACCATTGGAATATGACATGTACACTGTTACCGTTTAAAACATTTATTAGGAAAGAATCGGGACATGCTAAAAAGGCAGGTTTTTGTAAAGAATGCATACAGAATTCTTACATTCTATATTCAAAATTGAAACTGGTTAAGTAATACTATAGTTAACAAAGATGTTTAGTATTTTGGCACATGCTGAATTTTTCTAGTACAGTACAGACTTATGCGCACTACTAATCACACGTGAAGAATCATTTAAAATATGTTAAAATTTAATAGAAGTTGCTGAACAAATATTAGTGTTAAATGGGGAATTTAATTATGAAACAATACACATTTATTTACACTGGACTTCGAAACAGAAGTTAGTACAAGCTATTTTAAAGACATGCATACTATCCAGAAATTCTCAGAACAACATTACGTGACTGAAAAGATTGTTGTTGCTTCTGGGAAAAATTACTGATAGTTCTTAGAACTGCAAAAGTCTGTGTTCTCCAGTACAGACCTTCTGAAAACTATGAGCTTTGTAATATTATGTAACTTCTATACTTGCAAATAAATCCTGTTTACTCTGGGAGAGTATGTTTCAAAACACAAGGAAAAAACATGTAAGAATATGTACTTAAAGCTATAATGACATCTTTCCTTAGCAACCCAAGTAAAATAAGAATAATTGTTGTATAAAAAACCATATTAAATATAAATTTAATTTTTTTGCACAGTGTGGTCTCATGCTAAAAAGAGCTAAAGGAATGTCTGAGATAATTTTCATTTATGATTATCTAGCATCATCATAATGAAGAAATTATAGTGAATGAGAATATGGAAAACATATAAAAGAAGGCAAAGTCTGCACAGTTGCAGATTTGCTAAGAAAAGTGGATGCCATTTTGACCACTGAGTTTCAGGAATACAGGCAGGAACTGGCACATTAAGATCTCATGACAACCTTTACTTAGTCATGTGGCTTGAACTACTCCAGACCTCAGCTCACTGAAGATTATCCCTGATTTTAAGGCCTGAGAGAGCATGCATAACTGCATGAATAAGAAACTGA